GTCATGAAGTGGATTGGTAGGCCTACGGGGGAAGCAACCACTATAAAAAAAGAAATAGTGTATTTTCCGAAGAAAATACACTAGCAACGCGCCACTGAACTTACCTCCTGAGAAATTAAGTGTTTATAAAAGTCGGTCTTTCCCTGGTAAAAATAATCTGATGGCTATCGCCAAAACACAGTGATGTCATGAGTTTTGACTAACATAAATTGTGTTTTGGTGATGGCCAACTGATTATCTTAACAAGGGTTTCTCTAAGGTGGTGTGGAAAGAGTTCCATTGATAAGAATCAAGTTGTCTCTTCGGTTTTTCCCAGTTCAAATTGATGAGTTAGCCGTCACCAAAACAAACATTAATTGAAGTCATATATGTTTTGGTAACGGTTAAATCTTAATTTTGAAAAGGGGTTCTCTAAGGTGGTGTGGAAAGAGTTCTTCTGAGGATAAACCAGCAAATGGCAGGAAGTAATTGTAAGTCGCGAAATAGCTTTCTGAGATATTATGTAACACGTTACTTTCATTGAAGCGAAATAATAATATGGAAAACAGCTTTTTCTAGTTTTACACGCAGAAAATTCACTCGTCCTCTGTGTTTAAAAAAAAAAAAAAAAACAAGAAATTAGGAAGCACATTGAATTGAACGTCTCTATATTAAAAGGAACCATATCCATTCTGACATAATCCCTGATCCATAAGAATGCATGCTTGGCAAGGCTTATGTCCCAACGGATGTAGTTTCTTTTGAGTCAAATGCGTCCAATTTTGGTTGAAGGAAGATTAATTTCGTTATAGAGCGAAATTGCTCGCTTACAGACTATCAGCAGCGATGTACAAATAGAGGGAACGCAATATAACAACGATGATATAGCCCGAAATGTGACGAGGACAAAAAGCGCAAAAAATGGGTAACCAAGGCTAAAAATTTTGGGGCTGTCTTAACATTATTTGTAATTTCCGAATTTCAGTTGATAGAGCGAGAATTTTCTTGAAAACTTAAGAATATTTTTCTCTTCTAGGGATTCTCCTTGCTCTTGAACGAAATGTACTTGAAATTTTCAAAGAAATGTATTTATCGTACGTATAAGTTGATCGGATGAAATTGTCTGGAAAAAAATACTTGTCTTAGGGGAATGAGGATACAGAAATCTCATGGCAAAATTCAAATTTATAAACGACCTTCTTTACTAGCGCGGACGCACTGTATGACAGAAATGAATCAGTGAGAACAAAAACACACCAACTCTGTAGCTCGGAAATGCTCAATTTTCATTAAAGACAGTCAATTTTCATAAAGGCATCGATTCCAGCTTGGACCTTTAAAGTGTCCTTAAGTGCTTGTCCTTCGGCACCAAAAAACTTTTTCTTGGACTAACTTCTTCACCTACTATGCAGTTTTGTGTGCGTCTTGATTATTTTCATTTTTCCGAGTTGGTGTGTTTGCGTTCTCACTGATTCAAATTTAGAAATAGAATTCCTGAAGTTTCCACCACTAACGTGTTCCACCACTTCCCGAACCGCCCACGCTACGAATAAAATTGTATGATGACCTCTGGAATAACCTCTTAAATTTTGTAGATTAACCCTCCGACACCTGAGCAGATTCCGGCCTCCGACACAAGATAGGGCGTATTTAAGTTGTATTTATTTATTTATTTACCTTCGTATAAAACATGAATTTGTTATATGTTAACATGCATCATAATCAAAAGCCCAGACCCACAGTGTATTGTCGAAGGAGATCATGCGAGACCATGCCGAATACGAATTTTTGAACAGGCTCGGACTGGCGTGAAAAAAGTTAGGCCGCGGCGACGTATCGTGACGGCCCCCAGGGGGGGGGGGGACCCCCCAGTAAGGAGAGGAGGTCCGGGGGGCGGTCGCCCCCGGAAAATTTTTGGATCCTTTATATCCCGAGAATGCAATTTTATCCTCCCGGACGCATGTAAAATTGTCAACTATTAGAGGTTTGGATTGATATAATATTCGACCTAAAACGTAATTTTGAGAGCACGTAAGTTTTATTTTACGTCAAAAAATTTCACTTAATTAACTCGTAACAGTGGAGACGCCCAACTCGGGGGCCCCAGTCGTCGAAAACTAATTTACCCTTAGATTACAGAGTCTTAAAATTAATGAAAACAATTCTGGGGCCCTCAGCCTCGGGGGCCCCGAGGACGACGGCAAAGAAAGAGAATTAAAAAAAAAATTGTGGGGCCCTCTTCCTCGGGGGCCCCGGGAAAGAGGGCCCCAGAATTGTTTTTATTAATATTAAGACTCTGTAATCTAAGAGTTAATTAGTTTTCGACGACTGGGGCCCTCGAGTCGGGCGCCTCCACTGTTACGTGTAATTCCAGTGAAATTTTTTGACGTACCTAAAATAAAACTTAAGTGCTCTAAAAATTACGTTTTAGGTCGAATATTATATCGTCCTCGAGGGCCCCGGACGCGATCGCGGCCTAGCGGCTCTGGCCAGTCCGAGCCTGCATTTCCCGAATGAAAATTTAGCTCTTCCTCGTTTTTAGTACGCATCGTAAAGAAAGAAAGCGTTGTTGCACGTTGGGTGTCTGCGATCGTACACACAAGGAAGGACTTTCGTCCTTTGAGGAAAACTTTTCCCTAATAGAAAATAATTAAACTTTTTTTAAAAATAATTTTTTTATTAAAAAATCATTTTTTTTTTTTTTTAAAAAAAAGACAATTTGGTCGAAGAAACGAATTTGGAGATTTCGTCGAAAAACGGGGCGTAGTATAAATCCAAGTGAATTGAGTTCACCGGAATCACAAGTCAATAAATTTTACATTCAAGGACCTACCAGCCACTGGAGTGAAGCGAATAAAGTCAATCGGAAAATACAGTATGTCATCGTTGATGAACTGATGGCAATATGCAGCTATAGAAGGAGAGTGACCACATTGGAAACAATTTACTAGAATACTAGAAACGTATGCAACGGCCTCGTAAAAATCGAGAATGTCTGGCAGTCTCAGTTTTTTGTGTCGTTTGATATTCATCAGTTTCATCATTGTTGTATGCGCTCGTACGAGGTAATATTTATCAGATCAGTTATTGTCTTAGTTATCATAGACGCGGAGACCGTCAGTGGCGTGGCGTGCTTTGCGATCTATCGATTGATCAGCCATCTAAATCTATGGAAAAGGATCGACGAACAGGGTGTTCGTTGCGAACACCTTAAAATCGATTATGTACCATACCTTCAAATGGAGAAATATCGATAATCGACCGTTCACGCCACGCCACTGAAGACCACGGACGATCGTGGAAACGTGGAAGCACCATAACCCTCGGGAAGACAGGCGTATCTGGCGTTTGGGGGTCGCAGAGCGCCTGAGTGTGCTGTAGAAACAACGTACATCGAATGTGTAAGTCCGCAACAACGTATCTCGTTTGCGTTGTTTGAAAATTTTCGCTCCTATTTTATTTTTTAAAATAAGGAGAATAAATCGACGTCATTCTTTGAAGTCTTCGCGACACCAATTTAGTTTGGGGACTTCTCCCGTAACCTTTTAAAAATCGATATTCTCCGCATCCAAACCTATCTGTTGTGTTTTAAATGTTACAAATGCTAATAAACACTAGAAATCACTTACAATAAATTTTTTCCGATTTCGTTTTTATTCAGAAACTTCCTTTAAATATAAGCCCTCATACTCATGTCTATAGTACTGTGCATTGTCGGTCTGGCTCTGATATTCTCGGGGTGCTGATGCGATCTTGGGGCCCCTATAGTGTAGCGGAGCCCTCCCCCTCTTAAATAACTGCGGAGGTCTAGAAAAATTGGAAAATCCAATGTAGGTATGGCGTGGTTTTAAGCTACTTGCTCACTATTAAAAAAAAAAAAAAAAAAAAAAAAAAAAAAAATTGAATTCATTTAATCAATGCTGTCATATATCTCCACTTCTTCGCTTTTTCTTTTTCTTAGTATTTTTTTTTTTTTTTTTTTTTTTCTTAAAGTTTTTTAAATTTTTTTTTTGCGATTCTGAATAGGTATTGTGTTTCAATTCTGGGAAAATTGAAAAATACGAAGAATAAAAGGTTACTCAGAATGAATGATGGATTCTAAGACATAGTAAAGTCGTAAACCCTTATAAAAATAGGATGTACAAGTAGTGCTGCCCATGCACACGGCTTTCTTCGTTAAATGGAGAAGCCCCCGTGCGAAAGTTTTTCCGTTTTCACAAAATTTTCTTCGCACAGAGAAGAAAAATCACAGTATGACAGTGAGTCTGCATTAACGTTGCAAACCGAGATACGTAGTTTCAGTGGAGTATGTAGGATAAGGTTCTGGAGGGGGAGGGGGGGATAAACCTCCCAGCGGGGGGTCTGGGGGGTATGGAATACCCCGTTTATGCATGTAAATAATATAATAATAATAAAAAATAAATAAATAAAAAATAATGAAATAATTGGGTGAGCAAAATTTTTAAAATCTAACAATCCAAATTGCTCGTGTAACTGCACCTCCGACTTGTCTCAAAAAGTTGCGACGTATTTACCAGTTTTTAGTTTTTATGGGTGCCGGTTTTTGGATTCAAATTAAGCGCGTATTTGACGATTAGTTCTTGTACCTACCGCGCGTAGCGCTGCAGATGGTTTTCATAAGTTCGCATTTCCTCCGCGCCCCGCAGTCGATTAACGACAGCGCTCCGCGATGGTTTGCCGCAACATGTGCAGATGTCAGGGACGCTCGATAGAATTGCTTTAGATTTAATTATTTTTTTAAATGTATTCCTCCGTCACTTAGGGTTTCAGAATGACTATAATAGTGTTTTTAATTGATACATCAGCTTCAATGAATCAAAGAGCCTTTTCAAGTGGTCACCCAACTCTCCTGGATGTCGCCAAAACTGCAGTCGAGACGTTTGTCAAGGTATGTAGGCCTATTTCCCCTAATCAGTCATTTTACAGCGCGTCAATTATATCCATTTTTCTTGCTCCTCTAGCGCATCTTCTTGGAGTCATATCATCTCTCTCCAGAGATCTTAACTCCTTCCACTCTAGATTCTCTCGGTGTTTCCAAAATTTTCCTGCTGAAGCATCCCTGCCTAACCTATTTGCTTCCCTTACCCCCCTGTGATGAAACGTCTCACATCCGTTCCTTATGTGAGTAATATGACAATTAAGCCATTCGATCTTCTGTTTTTTCGCCAGCAGAGCTGTACTTATGGCCTCCTTTAATCTATTATGCAGCACCACCCAAATCTGTCTGGTCTCGCATTTGGGGCCGTGGTATGTGTTGCGCCAGCAATTTTCTCTTATCATTCTTATTACTCAATGTAATTTTATTGCAGAAATACCAAGATGAAACAACTGTCTGCTGATCCGGTATGCAGCTATCTCTCTTGAGCCCTGTGGGTCCGACTTTTTTTCCCCATTTTGAAATGAAAAGACTCAAACATAACATTTCAATTCTTTTCGAAGGATACCACTCCGATAATGTACAACTCCAAATTTTTCAACTTGTGCTATACATTCATGCCGTATCGTAATCTGTTGACTCAAGTAAAGCATTACCAGGAGACCTTACAGGTTGCTGGGCTACGTGGGAACCCGAAGATACAAACAAAAGATACTTCTGTTGTAAGATTAGTCTTTTAATTCTTTGTCTGTCAGGAATGTTAGAACATCACTTCTCAAGCTACTCATTGATGGTGAAACTGCAGAAATATGTATCTTGGTTTGCAGACTTCCAGCCACACTTTATCCTCCATCTGGAAAACTGCTTGTTCAATGTCATTTTGTAAAAATTTCAACCATTTTTCTTCTCTCCGCGATGAATATCTGTAAAAACTTCAAGTCATGATGTTGGTTTTGGTCTCCTTTCAATAAATGAACCAGGAGCGCGGATTTCGAAACAAGGCTATTGTGATCAAGACCAATCCACACAGGTCAGTCATTGCGCAGCTTTTTTGAAATCCACTCCCCCGCCCGGCCCTAACTCGCAGCACTCAATGCTACGTCACAATGGGTGCTCCCATAAGAAATACATTGCAGGCACTCCATACTACGCCACTGCGCAGTAGAGTACCAAAACTCGTCCTCGGGAATGACTGACCTGTGTGGATTGGTCTTGATTGTGATACGCATTTTTGCAGTTTCACTGTCGTCATGCCATTGAGTAGGTGTGTAGCAGAAATTTTAATATTAAGTAGGAAGTCTTATGAAGATGATAATTAATAGTGTACCTATCTATGATTGTTGCAGGTTCGCCAGAGATCACCAGAAAGTCGTGGTGACAGGTATATGTTACTCACCTTTGAAGAACCACCAGCCAATATCAAAGTAAGAATACTTCTTTTCTTTCTTTGTTTACATGGTTGTAGAATTTTTTAAGTTGCAGGGCTAAAAAATCAAGTCTGGAAATGCTTACCTATTCACTCAATTGATCTAAGTAATGTGAGCTTCGTGCATTTGAAATTCTTCAAAGTTTCCTGAAGCAAGCAGGCCGAAATGCAGCAATGAGTCAATTATCTAAGTGGAATGAAGAAAGTCGAATATGAGTCATGTTCAGGAAATTTGATTAACCATGCACGGATTCGTGCATGGAGAGTGCCTAAAATCAGGGGAGCAAAAAGTTCTTGATTCCACAACTAGCAGATCTAGACAGAACTGGGATCTAGTTAAGAGCTGAATTAGACTAGCCATGTGACTTATCTAAACGAGTGATAATTTTAGATCTAAGATAGATTTCAACATTTTTCTAGTTGACTGTTGTATTTTGTCTATTTGAATGATTAATTGTCTGCTAAATTGTGTTAATTTTTTTATAGCTAGATCACAAAGTATGATATGAATCTCGCTCAAAGAATTCTTTGAAGTGTTGAATGCAGTAGTGTAACCTACAGTTGTAACTTTTTGCAGGCTGGGTGGAAAGAAAACCTGACAACATTCATGACGGAGCTGAAGAATTTGCAATGCTGTGATATGACCCTAATGGGGGCTGCCTTAAGACATGCCTTTGATGTGTTGAACATAAATAGAATGCAAACAGGCATCGATACTTATGGCCAGGGTCGAAGTCCTTTCTTCTTAGAGCCGGCCTTAATTGTCGTAATCACGGACGGTGGTAAATTATCAAATTCTTCTGGCGTCCAAGAGGAGGTGAGATGTTCATCTGAGTACTTAATGCTTTGATAGGGAGTCTATTAGCATCAATTCTGGTTAGCCTAGTAGTAAAAGCAGCAACGTTTGCCTTTGTATCCGTTCATTTCTTAGTCGATGTTTCTGAAAGGCAATTTTTTAGATCAAATGAGGAGCTTGGAGGACTAGGCGCAAAAGAGCAGTTTTTACTATTTCGAGAAACACGCGTTTGGAGTTTCGAAATTACATGGATCCTCATTGCGAAGAGAAAGTTCAAACAGACTTTTTAATGTTCAATAATTGGAATTTGCAAGCGAATTTTTCACAGAGTATATTTTAAGACTAGTATCAGTTGAAATCATTAATATCTCAATTTTTTCTTATACTGCACTTATGCGCATTGTCTTCCAAGCCCCTTAAATATCATGAACTTTGACTTGGATCATATTTGCAAAAAAAAAAAAAAAAAAAAAAAAAAAAAAAAAAGCTGAAATGAGTCCAAGGCAAATATCTTTTGGGTTCTGTGGCAATTGTGTATATGTTCTGTACACCATCGGAGCTTAATGAATTATCAGTGATCTCTACTAGTTTTTTGACTGATTTTGCAAGCATGCAACAAATTGGAGAGGGACCTTTCTTATGGTGCATCAAAAAGGTGTAAAATGTATTTTGAGCTAGAATGCTTTTATGTTTCTGAGGAACTTCTTCAAATGGGATGTCCAGTAATTTTTAGCTTATACTTATGTGGAGAGATTTTCCTTTTCATCTTTTTATATTATTACCAGTGTGATTTCTTCCACTTGTAAAAATACTTGATCATGGGAAAAGTTAAAGAAAGTGAGTAATTACCTACATTTTTATTCAGATACCTCTTCCACTCAATACAGTAAGTATTTGGACTCAGCAGATTCAAATTCTCCAAACAGAAGATTAACCAGAAAGTGAACTGAGCATTTGATATTTCAGGCCAATTACTGAACACAAAATTACGAAGTACAATTTTTGAGAAATGTCATCTCCCTTTGTATAGGTGAAATTACCCTGTAAAATCTCTTCAGTCGAGCTTTAACCTGGCGTTTTTGTTCCCTCTTTTCTCAGATAACTTTGCCAATGAATGCACCGATTCCAGGCTCTGAGATGACTCGAGAACCATTCAGGTGGGACCAGCGCTTATTTTCTCTAGTTTTACGACTTACGGGTACCCCAGCTGTGGACCGTGACACTGGACTAGTCCCCAGTGACTCCTCGCCAATCGACGCAATGTGTGAGGTGACCGGGGGCCGGTCTTACTGCATCACTTCGCATAGAATGCTCATGCAGTGCATTGACAGTCTTGTGGCCAAGGTTCAAAGCGGTGTAGTTATAAATTTTGAAAAGATGGGACCTGATCCACCGCCTTTACCTAATGAAAGTAAGTTGTTATAAAATTGGTAAATTATTTTATCTTCAGATTTACATTCTCGATAGTGTATTTAAGTTTTAAGCTGTTTTGTAACTAAGCTGGTAAAATGGAAGTTACTTATCGCAGATGGCAACATATTAACCCTGGCCGTAATATGTGTTTCTTCTTTCTACTTTCTTCATTTGGGAAAAGCCGGCCTGGAAGGTGAAGATCATTGGTTCCTATTTAGCCCTCTTAAAAATCTCAAGTATCCAAGCTGCACATTGTTATAATTTTTTACCATGCTCTAAAAATGGGAAACTATATACAACAAATAATGAAGGATTTCTCTTAGAAGCCTCACTAAAGCTTAAACCAAATTTGGCAATTTTAAGATCTAGACAAATTTTTGTCCTGTTTTTGCCCAATCCTCCTATAAATTAAATTGTTTCTTGCGTTCTACCTCTATCAGTTACTCAGTTTTTTCTCTCTTTCTTTTCAGTCAAATCAGAAAAACCAGATATAGATGGAGATATCGAGATGGAATGGGACAGTAAAGACGGGCTCAATATAATTAACCACGCTGATAAAATCAACATAAATCAAAATGGAGTAAGTACATCCTTTCTTGCTTCATTTTTGCTCCGCTCTTGTATCACTTTTATTGTTTGACTGGATCGTTGCAATAATTAAACTTGTGTAATATTGAATGAGCCAAGTTAAACCGGCACGTTTAGCAAGTGCTTGTTTATTATTTTTTATAGCTACCTATTTTTACAATATCAAACTCTACTAACAATGCAACAAGGTCAAGTGCTGTGTTTGGTTCAAGTCATCTAATAAGCCAATCACAACACCTGACCATGATATATTGATAGTGTGTGACACTAACTTATGAATCAATATGTATGCAGAACAAGTTTCTTAGTAAACTTTCATTCATCAAGTTTTTCATGAAATCAGAGTCTCTCATTGTACAATAGTGGTGCAGGTGTTAAAACTACGAAAAGTATTCATCTTTGCTACTTCGTGCAATTCAAATTCAAATCTCAAGTTGAATACTCAGAGCTTGACTGCTAATCTAAAAATGTGCCAAAATGTGTTGTTGATGTAAAATTCAGCTCACTGTGAAAGGTTGACAAGTTCAAAAACGTTTGTTGTGTATCCTTTGAACCAATCCTTCCAACTGTAACATTTTTTACTGTTAGTAAATTTTCCCGGCTCTTTTTATCTAGGAAGTTGCTATGTTTCTCCTATGATTATCTTTTTTTCTTCCAGGCTAGACCAGGCAACAATGGAACTAACATGTCCCCAGCTTTAGGAGTAACATTGAACAATACAGCATGGCACAGTTGCAGAAAGCTCATTTATGTACCTCGATCAGGTCAGAAAGCGTTTGCTGTCGGATACTGGCCAATACCAGAGGCATTTTGGCCTGACCCCACTGCTTCCTCGCTGGTAATGAAAACTATTTTATTTTCACTTTTAATTTCACCAATTTTTTGTAAATTCATTGGTGAAACCAAACATGCAATGTTGAGTCATTGGTTGCCTTTTTAATGTCTTTTTAAGCATCCTTCATATTCTTAATTGTCAGGGAATTCCACCACAATCTGTAGGGAAAATGCCAAATAATTCCATTTCAGGGAAAATTCTGTAGCAACCCTGTTAAAGTTTTTCTTTAATGCCTCCTCAGAGTTTTTTTGAAACCTTTGAAAATTTGTTCGAAAGTCTTAACAAGTCCATGGTTTTATTCTTGTATCACCATGAAATATCCTCAGTGTTTGTACAAATACCATGGATCCTGTTCCAACCTAAATTAAAGAGGAAGCATGCAGAGAAAATTGCTGTAGGAGTCAAGAACCTCTAAATAATAATTTCTTAAAAAAAAAAAAAAAAAATGAGTATGAGATTTTTTAGGTAGAGGCTCTGATAAATGAACTCATTAAAAATAATTAATTTCCATGTGCTTTTTTTCTCTTTTCCAGCCACCTCGTTCAGCTCATCCGAATGTGAAATTCACTTGCACAAGTCACGAGCCAATGGTGATTGAAAATCTACCTTTTGATAAGTATGAGCTAGAGCCGTGCCCCTTGACTCAATACATGTTAGCCCGTAAACAGCCCACTGTTTGTTGGCAAGTGAGTATTTTCAAATTTGAATCCCTTGTTTATTTATCTCTCTTAACATTCAATTACATCCACAATGGGTTATTTTGAGATGGAGGAAAAAATTGGAAAAATTGATTAAGGCGTTGAAGAAATGAAAGTTTCATATCAGCTGCAACAAATCCTTCAATCTGGAAATGTTGTTTGTGAAAATATTTTTATGTGCGTTTTGCCGTAAGATGCTGAAAGAAAGATAACGCAGTATTCACTAAATTATAATATCCTATAATGAAAAGTATTTTTAAATATTTTTATTTGAAAAATCTGAGTTTTGGACTATTTTTTCCTTCCGTTTCCTCTCCACACTTTCTCAAAATTTAGAATGTTTATCAGTTCATCTGTGATCCCTTGTGGTGAGACAAATGCTAAGCATCTGTAATGTCAACTGCTTTAGTAAGAAAGGCTTTGCAGATCCAGCATAGCGGCTGTGCCGTATCTCTATGATAATTCAATCGTAAAAATGTCAAAACTTTAACTTTTAATTTAATTTTTTTCAAAATCAATTGTTAAAATGCTGGATTTGACAGGCTCATTTTGCTTAGAAAGTTGTAAGAAATCATACTAGTGTCATTTGATAAAGAAATTCAGCTGGCATTGTGAAGGGTTCTCCTAGGAACTATGACTTTGAAATTTGATGATGATCACTTTGTTTCAAAATCTAGTCAGTAGAGATATGATGAATCGATCATTCACCAAGTTTTGAACATGGAAAAGCAGAATAAAAAAGAGGCCAATAATAATGATGTTCTATTTGTTTTTTTTCTCATGTTTGAATACAATGAAATTTTTGCAGCTAATCTAATATCTCTCACCTTCCAGGTTTTCATACCATCCAGTCATAAAAATAGTGAAGCTGCTCATCCGTTTGGTTACCTCAAATCCTCAACAAACTTGTCCTGTGTCAATTTATTCGTCATGCCGTATAACTACCCCGTCATTTTGCCGTTGTTAGATGAACTTTTTAAAGTCCATAGGTTCAAATACACTCCCGAATGGCGGACAGCATTCCAGAAGTACATCAATTCTATGCCTTGTTACTATGCTGCTGTAAGTTCGTGTACCTCTATTATCTGCTCTTATTCCCTTTGTTTTTTGTTTCATCTTTGNNNGGGGGGGGGGGGGGTGTTACTAAGCTTTTATCCTGAACTCAAAATTAATCAAGGGATTGAAATGTTTACCCACATTCTCAAGATTGACTCAGATCTTACTCCTTAGCATCACCTACATCTTGCAATTTGCCGCAATGCCCATATTTTTCTTTGATTTGGAAAAAATTTCACCACCAAGTCCTTTTTAACTATTGTTTTGTATGAGGTAGTAATAGTTACACTTCACCATTTAACCCTGAATGTTTTGCTGATCCTTACTCTAATTGTACAACTGGGAACCTTCGTCTTGGAAATTGATGTCTATATTGCAAAAAGCTCATCACTGAATTGCATATCTCTAGGGATACCCCTATATTGTGGTCCTAACCTACCTTCCATTGTTTTTCATTGCAGCCTCTACGTCGTGCTTTGACAAGGATGGGCGCACCGCCGGCCCTAGCTCAGAGTTTGATCCCAGACTCGGCAGAAAATTCCCTTAGTTTTTCAATTTTAAACTACCTCAAAAGACTAAAAAATCAAGCCAAGACTGAATTTGATCGGTGAGTGCTTTCGCAGTTATTTTGTATCCTCAGTTTTACAGCCATTTTGTAATTTAACTCTCTTAGTAAAAGTTGTTGGCCATTCTTTTCTCAACGTAAATACTGTTTTTGGTTAATTTTTGTGTGTTTTGTACATCAAAGAGCCCTATAGATCTTTCATGAATATTTCTATTTTCTTCAATTAATTCGTAATTTTTAAAATAAAAATCACCCCATATTATTTAGCTAAAACCTTCCCACCTTACCTCATTTCCTTGTCCTGAAATGCATGAAAGACATTTTTCGTCAAAGTGATGCAGTTATGGCATTTTCCAGTGAAACATACCAGTTGCTTATCTTCGTTTACTATCGCAAGGCACCATTGGAAAATTAGAGTTACTTACCGGATCATAAAATCTTGAAAAGCGGATTTTTCTTTATCTCCTTTATTTGATGGGGAGAGGAGCTTTGTTGAAACTCCATTGAAGGTCCATTGAAAGGACCACTATTTGGACCATGTTAAACAGAGAGGAATCAAGCCACATTAGCTATTGCCAAATTTAATGGGGCAATTCAATTTTTTACATGAGGACGGTTGTGCGGATTTTTGTGCAAATTTCTATGAATCTTCTCCATGCTTCAAAGTAAATTCCTTAAAATTTCCAAAGGAATCCTCACAAACGTTCTCTCGTAAACAATCAAATTCCCCTGTTAAATTTGGTAATAGCTGATGTGGCTTGATTCCTCTCTGTTTTACGTGGTCCAAATAGTGGTGATGTGGTTTGGTTCCTTTCTGTTTAACGCAGTCCATTAATGGTTAGAATTGAATTATCACTAAGTAGAGGTGTCATCTCATTGAATCTTCATGCTAAATGCAGTGAACACATCAATAATTTCCTTAATCAACTCACAAGTCTAGGATTTGCTTTTATCGTCTACTTTAAAATTAGTTTCAATTTTCCACTGAAGAAAAATCAAAATCAACAAAAAGCAAACTAACAATTGATAAGCAGACATATTGTTTAGCAAGTAAGTGAAGGTGGGTTCTTGGCAAGAACACATAAACTTATTTTAAAAAAAAATGAGGATGAGGATGCTAAAAAAAAGTATTTTATCTAGGAGGACAGCAAAATAAGTTCAGTGTTCAGTTTGATGCTAGCAGTCTTTGATTTCCAGGTGAAAAGGAAGTTAAATTTTTTGAACACAGAGACCCTGAATTTCCCCCTTTCAAAAGAAATTTGGAATTATTTTATGTGTCTGCAAAGCGCTTTATGAATTTGTAATCAGGAAACTTTGACATTTTGCAGTCAGTAACTACCATATTTAGCGTGTCTATAAAAACATATATATGTATTAAGAAATTGATGAAACATGTGTTTTTTCTAAAATCAGGTGGAAATGGTAGTTCCTAATTGCAAAATGTAGCCCACTTGTATTATTGTGCTTGGTTTGTAACCCCTCTACAGCTCCATCTTTTCAAGTGGAAGTTTATCTATATTATGTGTCATGAGTTTACAGTCGTGTATTATGATTATGTGTTCCAGTTTATGTAATGATGTTAGCAATCGTTTGTCTTCCAATAATAAACCAATAGCTGGGCCAGCGTTAGAGGGTATCAGAGTAACGCAAAGGTCACATCTCAAGAGGGATTTAATCTCTCATCCTGCCCTTTTAGGTAAGTCCTTCTTTGATTCTTTACTTTTTTTCCTGTAGCCAATTTATATTCTGACAATACTTCATTGCATTTTCGATTAAAAAAAATTCATTTTTTATAAAGAGACTTCTTTCAATGGGTCAAATTTTCTTTACGATTTACGGTTCAAATTTATGCTCATATGGAACTTTTCTCATACTTTAGTGAAAAAGTGAAAAGGATTATGTCAAGATGAATCCATCTGGAAAGATACAAAGGAAAGGGTCCTTTTTTGAGTGGTTAAAAATTATTTAAATTGAAAGTTCATCCTGCCTTTTGCCCTCAAGCGTACAATTTTAGTGCTTCCATTATCTTTTAATGTAAAAGTAAATTTTGCTCTATTTAAGTGAAGTTTTTTTTAAGTCATTAATGTAGAGTAATAAGTAAGGAACAAAGGAGATAATGATGCCTAAAGAATAGAATAGGAATTGCCCTAGGATTCATATACAGCAAAGGAGGAGAAAAAAAAATAACTACAAATAAAATATGAAATAAATAATATTGATTTAATATATTTAAGTGCTGTTGTATGTACAGCACTTAAATATTACTAACTATATTACTTTATGTATATATTATTCTACCTCTCCTTCTCTTTTTAATTCCTCATTCTTTGTCTGTCCTTTCAGATAATTTTAGCGCCATGCGAGATCAACTCAATGATTTCGGCGGATTTGTAGTGAATGTTTCCAGGAATCGATTGCAAAATAGACGAGCTGGTAGACAGAGTTACCGAAACCCATTTGATATCCCCCGTCCAACATTATTAGACCAAGTATTTCGCATGAGGTCAAATTTCCTCCAGTCGGCGCTTAATAGGACTAAACTAATTGATGATGGTACTGTATAATTCAGAATTTTATCTTCTTTTGTAGTTTTTCCTGGAGTGGATATGTTCGCAAGAGAGTGAACCCTTAGTTGTCATTTGTTCTAGTTGAAGGTTGCAAGTAGCTCAGGCAGGATTTCAAATTTTTTCCTGATTTTCAAGTTTTTTTTGATTGAAATAATCGTCAAAGCTCTTCCAAGTCCTTAAACTCTGCAGTTTAGAGTCTTAATTGTCGAGAACACAGTTTCGATAATGGAAAGGCTGGTTTGTACAAACCGAACACCTGTGGAATCGGAAATAAAAGAGAGGGAAGGAGATATTGACAATAAGTCATCACTTCGTTTGTAAAAGTATATCCCTGAATAATACTTCAGTTTTGGTTGTAGGTACAGCCCTTAGATTTAAAAATGCACGAGGAAGAAAAAGCATAAGAGCTTAGTTTTAAGATTTGTTTGCTCAACATGTAATTTTTGAATTTACTGTGGTCTGAGATTGCCACCAATTTGTACAGTAACGTAGATAGAGTACTGTTGGGCAACCTTAATTTTTCTAACAGTGCCTGTTCTGTTAAAAAGGAATTCTGCACTGAAAGAATTAAGGACTGTGAACACATCTATATTTGTTTATCATCATTAAAATAATATTTTGTGACCAATGTACGAAATACTTAATCATTAGTAAAAATTAATTCAAGTCAATGTGAATAATTTTTTTTTTTTTTTTTTTTTTTTTTTTTTTTTTTTTTCTTCTAACCACCTTGTTTTTAATTTTAATAAGTTATTGTCTGACTGTAAGCAAATTTAATTTCGCTATTTCATATTTTAGATCATGTGCACAGTATGCCTGTCAGTCAAATGGGCAACTATCAAGAGTATTTGAAGAGGATGCAGCCTCAACTACGTGAAGTAGAATCAACGCCTGTTAGACAACATATGTTTGGAAATCCGTTTAAAATCGACAAGGTAAACTCTATTTCAACTGATACATCAGTGGACATCAAAGTATCCACAAATATGTTTATAATTTAATTGCTCAGTCTCACAAAAAAATCTTAAAAACAGCAATGTTTCCTGAAATATAATTCTTATGCAAGGCCACATATGTTTTGCATTGTTTGATGTTTAAATCAAAGAGCAACAAGTAGCCTCAGAGTAGCACAGAGAAAGGGAGAGAACAGGCAAGTGGTCAAGGCCAAAAACCGAGGCTCTAAGATATGAAAAAAACCCTGAGAACAACATTATTTCCTGAAATTTGATTTTTATGTATGATCACTTATTTCTTTCATTGTTTGATGCTGAAATTCAGGTATTTATTACCCACTAAAGTTATTGTTATTACAAAACTCACTTGCACATTGTTAAAACAACGTTCAAGTGAGTTTCGGAATAACAATAACTTTAAGTATTAAGTTCCTGTGTTAACCCGACCCTAACATTTGATTTATTACCCAACTCTTTATTTAATGTATGAGGATACCAGGAATCCAAATTTTTTGGAGCTTTTACTTTCTGTGCAGCACTTGAACATAAATTTACAAGCAATGTAATTTTTTTCAACAGCGGATGATGATGGTGGACGAAGCTGATATTGATCTAGTCGGAGGCGGAGGTAGCTCACCAGCAAAGGGAGGAACCAAGCGAGGAGCGAGCGAAAATGTGGCCCCGACACGGCCTCCGCCGAGCAAGCGCAAAGCGGGTCCTATTCCACGCCATGTCACATTCCGCAGATCTCCGTCAGTGACCAGCTCCAGTTGTGGAGACTCGCCTCCCCCGACGCCACCCCCTACTCCTCCCCCAATCATGCCAGTCATGCCTTTAGTCAATGGTGATCTAGGTGAACTATCCTTTACTTGTTTCGTTCCTTTTAAAGCTCTCAGAAACCTCATCAGTGTCATGTGAATTAGCGTCCTTGACCATTCAGAAAGTTATAGTTTTTTTAATTGTGTCTAAGACGTGGAATAATATCATACTAGGTTTTTTAGTGTGCAAAAAATCTATTGAAAAAGCTGTGAAGTCATCAAAAATGGGGGTTTCAAACAGTGTCTCTTTTCTCTTTGTGCTGAAACCACTTCGTTTTTAAACTTGACAGTCCGCTTTGACTCATCGTAAAGAATTAGTCAAAAGTTCTCACAATCAACAGTTTTGCTCCAAACCATAGGAGTAGACTGTGTTTGGTTAAAGAAATCTTGAGAAAATGTTTCAGAATGAGAATTTGTCACTGTGAATGAAGAAATTTAAAAATTCTGAACTCAGCATTTTAAAGGGCATCTGGAATATATTTTTGGAAACCCTGAGCTTAAGGCGTCATAGTTTTAGAAATCTGACTTTTCATTTCAATTTCAAAATGAAGATGGTGAAAAGCCTAATTTGGTCTGTCCTTAGTCTCCGCAAAAAATGGAAAATATCTTACTTGGTCCTGAATTAGACAATTAAAAAAATAGTCTAAATTATGGAAAAGGTAAATTTGTTTTAAAAGCTGTTTATAAACCAGAAGTAACTACTTCATCTCCATAATACATTATAGCAGCCTCATCAAGATTTTAGCTCTGCAGTCACATTGAAGACAACAAGTGTGCAAGGAGAGGCAATAGAGAGGCTCTCTAAATAAGCTCTTTGCCTCAAATAACGACTTTAAAGACATTACCTAGGTTCATTTTCTCTGCCTTCAATGCAAGTAGTAACTATGCAACAGTTCACTTTTTCCCTTTTAAGTGCTATAGAGAAAAAACTTCTGTTGCTCAAAATCTCAGAAATCTTTTTCATGGAAACTGAAAAATTACAAATTTGGTCGTAACTCTACGAACCCCATTAAAATGTCGGGACATAACCCCAATGAATCCTTTCCTATATTTCAATGCTTTCAAGATAGTTTTTAAATTAAGGAATCATTTCTTCAAGTAGGTATCCTTCATTAAGGAATCTTGATTAAAATTCCAAGAGAGTGATGTACCTAACTGTAGAAAAGGTAAAGCAAAAGTTAATTTTGGTAAAAAAACAGTCATAGAGATAAAAGGTTCTTTGCAAGCAGCAAAACACAAAGAACTTAGGTACTTCTCACAATAACAACAGTGATTTATAATAAATTTGGCTGCCTGAATGGTTCAAATGCCAAAGTCTTGTTCTTTTTTTCTCCTCTCAAACTTGGGAAGAATTCAGGAGAGGCACAGAAATGTTGGAATTTTCATCAATCTTATCTCTTCATCTATCTCCTCCGTTTTATTTTATTTTTCTATGTTGACCTCTATTTAATAAAAATCAGGGACTATCCACCTCTTAAGGGAAATATAGGAATCGAATGAAAATGTTTGATGCTGAAAGAAAGCAGTGATGAATAACTGTTATAATTTTTGGCATCGTGTGTTTTGTCTCTGCCCAAACAGATAGTCTTAGTAGAAGTTTGAAAAGAGAGCGACCTGGCTCGCGGTCACCTTCTCCTCCGCTGGCAGACGTGCCACCACCAATCCTCCAGCCGTACGATGGGAGCCTAGCATCGAGTGAATCCAACCAGCGCAGCGTCCTGCCAAGTCCAGACCCTGTGCCCCCAAAACTGGAAGAGCTCGAGACGCCATTCAAAGAGTTCAACGATTATAGCCCTGCATACACCAACAGTAACCATAACTATAACCCTCCTCCTCCCCCTCCCCCTCTCCCCCCTAACTGTAAAGCTGATAGCATAATTGATTCAGCTCAGGTTAAAAAGCATAACATGAATTTGCGGGCGCTCGCGTTTAAAGAGATTAAGAAACCCGGCAGAAGTAAGTATCTCGGAAGCTATTCCTCCCTCCCGACCTGTGCGACTGTGCAGTTTGGACAGTGGAGTTCTCTCTCAATTCGATTATCAGGCTCTGATAGAAAAGATGTTGCAGAATATTTGTGATTGGGAAAAGCAGCTGTTACCCCTTTAAAAATAGAAATCGAACAATTTTGGAGAGGTGATAAATTTTTGAAAGTGGGAACAAAACTCAAAGAAGCCTCTAACATGTCTCACAATTTAAGTGGTATAACTTTCTCAATCAAATAGTGAGGGGCTGAAAGTTTTTGTTTTTTTGAAACCTTTTCGAATTATGCGAAAATTAAACCAAGCTAATATTTCTGTGCATACCATAATAATCTTGTCTGCTCTATTGTGCTGAATCGTAGTTCTTATGATTAGGAACCAAAATGTTTCATTTCATTTTAAGGGGGAAGAACTTCAAATACAGTTTATATTCAAGTAATTTGCTGAAGTAACTTAAATAAAAAAGAGAGCGTTGGAGCTCTGTTTAAGTTAATTTCTTGTCCTTCGTTCCCGCAAGTTGCGTTACTATCGTCAAAAATGAAGAACAGGAAGTTCAGTAATGTTCGAATTTTAGTGATCAATTTGTCATACCTCAGGTCTTATCAAATATTACCAGCATCTTTTGCATCAAAGCCACAAACCACCCTCACTGCCTTTAGTGCCCAATTGGAAAGAAGCAAGTCTCTCTTACATCATTTGAGCTCTAATGAACTTGGTCTCAGAGAGAGAAAAAAGATTTTATGACCCCATCAATTCAAGTTTGATATTAGCATATTCCCAACATAACCGTCAAAGAATGATTTTGTGACAGTTAGTTTTATACTTTCCATTTGGGCACTCGGTTTTTCATTCGCTCGAATCTTTGTGTATTTGTTCTTCTATGGTTACTTTTTGTGCTGCTATATGAGAGACTGGAACGAGATTTGTGGTTACACAAATACACCAACCCTAAGGAAGATAAATTGACTAGTAAAGATATGATCTCTTCATCAAATTATATTTGTTCTGATACTAATGATTGGGGCTGTTGCTCAGTTTGCTCTAATTCAAATTCGAGAAGTACATACATAAGAAACGAGAATACTTACATTTTGACAATGGACCACTAGACAGGGTACAAATATAATCATTTTGATAAATGTTTCTTTATCAAAATCCACGTAGAACCTGATTTGTACAACGAAAAGCACTGATATACCTCCAATTGTTTACGAGAATTTTGAAGAGATTCGGTTTTGGTTTTTATCTTCCTTGGGAACAGTTGTTAAAACCACAAGTTAAATGCTTATCATGTTGACAAAAGTCTTGATTCAGTTTTTTCTCCTTTTTTTATTATTTTTTTTTTTTTTTAAAAAAGAAAAATTATTTAGCTTTGTTTTCATTGTTTTTGATTCTCTCGAAAGCATCAAGTTAAATTTTCAAGGATATTCCTAGAGTAGTCCACTATTTTGACATGATCAGATGACACATGAACTATTTTGACATCTTGTAGGTTTTTACAACATTATTTTTTCAAATGTCATAAGTTATGATAACATTCCTATGAGCTAGAGAAGTTCTTTTGTTTTTTCCTTCTTTTTTTTTTAGTTGAAAAAATCGAAGAATATCTGAATTTTCCTAATTCATGATCTGTGTCAGATCATTTAACTGTTCTTACTTTTTGTAAAAAATTAATGAAATCAAAGTAGTTGTATTACTTAATACATGGTAATTATGCCTGAAGTTGAGGCCAAAAAAGTGCGCCTTGGTACAGAAGACTTTATTCTTTTGTATCTGTAATGATTGGTGAATCCAAGAATGAAAAATATTTCCTGTCATGCTTACAGAACTTAAATAATTCTGTAGAAAATCATATTTTGAACTCTTTCAATGATACAGTATTGCATGGATAGTCTTCTTGTTGATTTTTGAAGAAATGACCTGTTGTTCTTGCAAAAGATAGCAATGCCCTGTTAATGCCTGCTAATGACTCAAAATGGCAGGTATTCTATCTTCTTTAATGGATGAAAATATCAACCTGATGCTTTCGTATGGTTTTATCTGTGTCTTTTTATCCATGTTCTGCGCTGAGTCAATTACTCATGTGAAGCCCGTGTAGATTGTGGAATGAACCACCGGGTCTGAGTAAGGATTAATCACTGCAGCACTTGTTTTCTAACCAAAATTTTTAGCAGAACACATTGAATATACTGAAAACTTCTGAAATCTCTCTAAAAGAGAAATCAAAATTTATAGTTATATTTTTAGCTGTAGGTAAATTCAAACTTCACACTCGCGTTAAAAACTTAATCAACAGAGGCCTTGTTTGGCATTGGCATTAACCTATAGTTAAGCCAATAACCAAACTGCTGTTTCACAGACACATTTCCTTTCTCTTCTGATGCAGGGCATCTTTATTCTTGTCCCGAAAATGTTAGCACACAGGGAAATTCCTCCATCAGAAAATACGTGAGAAAGTGCGAATTAATTCAGACAAAAACTGTCATTCAACTCATGGGATGAATTTGAAAGGAATGTTTAAATACGCCCATCGTATTTCTGTAAAATTTCAGTGAGGAAAAATTTACTGTGACGCTTAATCTTTTACTCTCTCTTGTGGTTCATTTGAAGGCGAGTGTTTTTGCTTTCATGCTTTCTGTGACAATTACGCTTTCTGCACCAGTAGAGTCTCATTAAATTTGTCCCGATCATTTTTTCCCTCTGAGCATCCATTTTAAACTTACGGTGGATCCTGGCCTTTTTTGGTGCATTAGCATCACAAAATGACCGACCGTCTACAGGAAAAGAGACTTCAGTATTGAAGTACTCCAAATTGATGCCTCCACTCTGGAGCATTTTGAACAAACATTTCAGCCCATAAATCTGTTGGTTTTGAAAATATCCACGTAAATTGGAGTTATGAGAATTGAACTTAGCATTTTTAACAATTTGATCAGAGAAGAAGCTGTTCACGGTTTTCATCCTTCATGTTTTCATTCTCACAGACTGTTATGCCCAAACATATCTCATAATCTAGTTTTTTTAGACTGATTTTTGTCTTTGTATCAAAATGAAATGATTCTATAATGAAGTTTTTTGAGGCTCTGCTGGAAGTTTCCCTCTGCAAAATCACACTTCAGCGCCAAGCGTTTAGGTAGATTGGCAACATTCATAGTGGTTGGTCAACTGCGTAAGATTTTCAAGCTTCATATCTGAAAATAACTGATTTTTTGGGATTTGTGCGACCGGTTTAGATATTGAAATGTGACTTTACAGGTGCTACAGATGAAGTAGCTGTGTAATGTTTTTTTTTTTTTTTTTTTTTTTTTTTTTAAACTGCATTTGATATTGCAAAATTAATTGGAAGTTCCTGATCCAATTTATTTTTTCTTATAATATACCGCAATTCAATTTTTACTCAAAATTGGTGCTAAATCAATTTTTTTAGGGTGAAACAGCTCTTCAAATCCTGTAATAGCGACAATTTGCATTTACCATCTGGCATTAGAAGTGTGATTTTGTACAATGTCTTGTCTTGGGTCTCATCTCCTATACTTTGAAGCATTCTATAATTTACATAACCACGATCTGAGTTTGGATTTTTTTAAAAATTGACTTTCTTAGCACTTGTGGACTTCTAAATTTAAGCCATTAAAATTTGTTGGTTTTTCGTAATATTCTCAAATTGTCAGTCACTATTATTTTGAGAGTTTAACTCACTGATATCCATCAACAAAAGTAGTCCTCCTGTACCTTGCTGTTTTGAGTAAGTTCATTGTGTGCTCCTTTTTTTAAAACTATCCTCTCAATTTGGTGCGATCAAAGCGACCAGTTTGATGTGTGGCCCGCTTAGCTCTCACCCTCCTCAGATTAAAGCTTAATGTAAAATTGTGTAATGCAAAAAGGAGCACTGAATACCTAGCAATTAATCGTTTAATTTTTGGGACAAGTATTCATTGAAGAAATGGCTTTAATTTTCACGCAGAACACAACTTGGGCAACAAAAATCACTAAAACTAACTAACTAAGATATTTAAAGTTTCTTGATGTGTAACTTTAAACCTCCCGCCCATGAAAAAACAGAAGTCTATGCGAGTCAAATTGCGCACTAATTGTTACGGTAACAGTTTGTGTAGTATGGAATTATGGCAACCGCAATATCGGTGCTTTGGCTCATCTGTTGCATGTTGTCAACACTTGGAACAACACAGGACAGGGAGGGAACACCAGCTTGATTAAGAAGCCTGCCATAACCATCTTAGTGTGTGCGATTTGATGCAAGTAGACTCATGTTCTTCTTGTGAGCTGGGAATTCAAGATTCCCAAAACCTAATGAACCAATGTAAACTAAAATCGGTAACATCTTAGTTATGTGTTGATTTCAGTAATTTCTGTTGTGTGAATCGTGTTCTATGTGAAATTTTGGTTCAGAAACAAGTATCAGAATGCTTAAATCATACCTTGTCTACTGGTCCATAGCCTATCAATCTTAAATCATGGTTATGGTAAGGTTATTTTTCCCAGTACAGCAAAACTGATGGCTATTCCTTTGTAGATTCACTGAGGGTCTTTGCGCTGAAGCCACTGAACAGATCAACCGCTGGTTATTTGAAGCCCCGGTCCCGTTTGAGACTGGGTGAGCAGAGTATTTTGAGCCTCGCGTGTTTTATAGTTTTAATTAAAATCTAATGGTTCCACCCTCAGATTTCAAACCAGCTCAGTTGTCCATTACTGGTAGTATCTGATGTAAAAGAATCATGGAGCACGAATTTCAGAGCTCTCGGTTTCAATTCTCTGTAGATTTCAGCCACTTTTTTTGTAAGATTAACAACTTCAAAACATCGAGTAATAAACTGAAATGCCTCCTAAATTGAAAGCTCTTTACATTCTTGGAAAAATAATCTCGATATTAACTATTATTTTAGTTGTCAAGAGTCTTCTCTCATCTTTCAAAGAAGAAAATGTAGCTTCGAATCTCGAATCAAATGCTAGCTTATTTGAGGGTGGTCCATCTCAATAAATGTTCCAAGGCATCTATGTTTAAATTCTTATTCTATCAAATTTTTATTTAAAAATTGACCATTTCAAAATGCCATGCATTTGTCGCACCCAACATCCAACATTTCAATGGTCCATGAAGAAGCATTCTTTCTCCATTTCCCTCTATGATTTTGCTAAGCATCTGTAGAGTTTTAATCTGCGAATTTTAAGTCTGTCTCGTAATGTAGGACGAAGTTTTATTAGAACTCTATTTTTAAGATACAGTGCGTGACAGTTTCATTGAAAGGAGATGAACTCTGTTTTATCAGATTACCTCCCATTATACGGGCAAAGGAAATTTAAATTGGTAAGCCCCACATCTTGTTAATCTTTGGTTTTGGTAAGCTTAAATTGAATTTATTCATCTTCAAAAGTATTTTAATGCCTTCTCATTAGAAACTTTTTGTTTCCTCTTTTTTCAGATTATGAAGCCCTGTTTCGGCACGTGAAGTCGCTGAAAGGCTCCCCACAAATCCAAGCGCAAACCATTCAAGACATAATTGAAGAATCCTTGAGGTTCAAGCGTCAACATCTTGCCAGTGTCCTGGATAACCATATGCAAGAAATTTTAGGTATGGAGAAATTTCAACTAATGGACAACGGAGCCAGATGAGGTCTTTGGATCAGCCCGTAAGTTTGGAAAGAGCTTATATCCTAAGGGATTACGGGTCAATTAAAATCCGTTGAAGCCTTTTACTCATTTCCCGGTCTCTAAGTATTCAAAACCAGTGGTTTGTTTCATAGATAGTGGAATTTGATGAGAGTACAATGCGATGGTCCTATTTATCATTCCATTTGTTGCGCAAGTTGCCAGAACGGTAACCATCCATTTGATCAGAATAAATCTGTGTGTGATGTCAGGGTGAAGAGTGCTTGCTGCGAGGGAGTGGAAGAAGTTCAGATGAACTCAAGGAACCAGTGGAAACATGATTTATCTTCCTCTGACCAGTTTGCTGATTGTCTCTCAGGTACTGATCTGCAATTAAGAGTTTGGCCACATTTCAGCTTCGAACCTTCCCGTCAAGTTTTGTAAAATTGAGAAAAAGTTTTTTCTTAACTAAGATAAAGACGATCAAACCCTTTGCTTGGCTTCAGTCTACTTTGCTCTTTCATCCAGTGTATTAACTGAAGTCATTAATTTTACTGGAGGCAGAAAGATGCTGTTGCCTAGTATCATCACTCAGGTCATTTTTTCCTTAAGAACAGATGTTGCAAACATTAGAAAAATTTCTCAAAACCTATTAAGTAGACTGTCCTGGGCGAATCTACTTGATAAAAAAAAGTATGCTTGTTCCAAGTATTTAAGAGTATTAGTGATGATATTTTGCAGGCAACATGCTTAGAGGAAATTTGATAAGAATATGTTGATCAATCAAAATCCACTTCGAATGTACCAAAATTTTTCATCATGGCTTCACAATGTCAGCATTTTTGGGAGTCCTGGGAGTCCAAAAATGACTGGCAGTCTTGCCGGAAGGGAGAAGTGTTGTTTTAGATTTCTTTTTCTTCTTTTTGTCCAGAAACTTGATATTTGTGATTTGTTCTGCTGTCTCACACACCTTTGCTGAATATTTGTGGGAAAAATCAGTATTTTTTGACAGGCTAAGTAATCCATGATAATTGTAGAGGAATACCTAGCAAACATTTCTAAGACTGTTCAACCAGGTCATAGGTAACTAAATGAAATGGTACAGTTTCGAAATTAAGTAACTGACTCCGGTCCTTTTGCAAGGAATCAATTAATTCCATCCATGTTTTGAGGATTTGAATTTCTGCGGTTTTGAGAATTTTTTTATTTAGACTGAATAAACCTGGATTGATATTGGATCATGTCACTAGTCTTCATAGACGGTGAGGTATGTATCTTAATGATGAAAGGAATTAAAAGTTCATGCAGAAAGCCAAGTTTCATTAATCGTTGCACGGTCAAATGCTAATGATTCAGTAAGTAGGTATTTTTCATTTTTTCTCAAATATTTGATTGCTCGACAGTTAATTTTATGTCTTTGTTGCTCAGATTCACACTGATGTCCTCTTATGACATTTTTCATCAGTGATTAAGTAAAAGTAGTTCATCTTCAATTGATTGATCACACCATATTCACCTCCAGTGTTCGCCACATTTTTGTGATTTTGAGAAAATTGAGTCAGAAGTCCAAAAATTACATTAAGTTTTAGTTAAGAGCTGAAAGTTGAATTTTGAAGGATCATTTTTTTCTTCGAAGTGTATCTGAAACATGTTTTAATTTAAATCACCAATATCTTGATTTTTTAAGAAATGCTCCTTCATTTTTTGAAGATTTCAATCATCTCTCTCATTTCTGAGTCTTACCAAAGCTTTAGAATATAACACTGGAGACAGACTAAAAAGAATAAAATTTAACGCACCAGATTAAAGCAAATTTTATTTTAATATCCTTTTTTTTTATACTACATAATCGCATTTTGTTTGCGTTTCATCCTCCAATTTTCTGGTCACCCTAATCATTGTACGTAGCTCAGACCTCAGAATGGTGTGTGGATGGATTTTTTGTTTTTTTCCCCCCCTCAAAAGCTGCACATCCCTTGAATACATTCTTCGTTTATTTTTGTTCTTACCAAGGGAAGAGGAAATTCTGGAAGTTTACATTTGATCAACATTTTGCTTTTGAAATTCCGTGAATTTTCTGCAAATTTTTCTCTGATGTGTCCAACTTGCATTGATTTGGAGTGCATTATTGTCAGGGAGCAAACACCTTTTTCAAAGAAATGTTGGTTAAAGCCAGAGCTGCCAGACACCAATCCAATTTAATCAGTCCAAAAATCAAAGCATCATCTGCGAGTCAAGTCACAAACTTTGAAAAGGTCTCTGAAAGTTCTAAGGGTCAGAAATTTTTGCACAAATTACATTTAAAATTAACACACTGTTGCTGTTGTGTCATGAATATGACGATGTTGCTGAATTCTACAAGTTATGATGAAGCTGTTCAGATTAGAGTGGCCTCAAACTCTGAACTGATGAACTGATTTTAAGTTTCTCAGGACTTAAAACCTACTTTCAGATTTCGAATTCAGATTTTAAATTTGTAAGTCGTCCTCCTTATTGTTTTATTAGCTATTTTATTTATTTATTTTTTTCATTTATATTTTGGGCAAGCCCAATTGCATCTTTTGCAAGAGTCAAACTTCATTCAACAGGTAATTTACCAATCATTTGTCCTCCAGATTTATTTGGCAGATTTTATGTATGTACATACTATGTTTTGTAAATAAACTTGACTTTTTTCAGTTAAGACTCTGCCCTAAATCCATTCGATCATTTTTCAGAAGAAGACAGTTGATCATCATCGCTTCAGTTGATTTTTTCTTTGGTGATTTCCACGTTTTCATTTTTTGGGGGCTTCCAGGTGTTTTCATCATTAAGAAATATTTCTATGCTAAGATAGAATGTTGTATAAGGATTCAAATGTTATGATATTTCCCTCTCAAATTTTCAAGGAAAGGTACGAAGGCAGTCTCAAAGAAAAACGAAAAACAACCGGGATTCTTTTGCCATATGGCTGCAGGTATGAGCGGAGTGTCCACTGGTCTGGAAATATGTAAATGAATGTATATGGCGTATATATATTCGTGAATAGCCATGCCAGATTTAGGATTGAGAACATGTCTCTGCAGGTGGTAACAACGGCTGCCAGAAAACTGCAAACAGTTGAGTCCGGTATATTTATCACTGCTCAATCTAAGCTCATGTTAAGTATTTACGAAACATTCTAAGTATTAAATAAAAGAATCACCTCCAATGATAGCAGCTCTTAGGTTGACTCTCAATGATATTATTTTATCTTTGTCAATTTAGGAATGAAATAATGATAGTGTTGTCTCCAAGGCCCGATGCCATAACCCATTACCTCTTTTTTCCACCTGAATCCTCTCTTCATTATTTAAGAAGCACCATGATTATTTTTGAAATTTTATTCGGAGTTTACATTTTATAGATTCTGAATTTTTCCTTTCATTTAAAAATGTTATCTGAACATCGAAAATTGCTTTTGGGCTTCAAATTTTTCTGAACAAGTAGGTATACTTCATGAATGCTGTAATCTTACACCTTCGGACGATCTATAAACGGGTTCTCGTTCTCGGATTCTCGTTTAAGGGCCATGCATCAATTACGCCAGGCTTTCTCCTCGACTTTTAAGGAGTCCGTCTGGCAATGCTAGACTCCTGACTTTTTCTTAGCCCTAGGTACTCGAAATCATCAATGGGTACTCCATTTTAACCTTCATGTATATTTTGTTCCCTCTCATTCATTTACCCACTGAAATTTCTAATAAACCCCGACAATTGATGCTTAAGTCTAAGATCAGTGATTTTGATCTTCTCACTTGGTACTACATGATATATTTGGAGGCATAAACCAAAAAAGGAAAACGAAAACAAGTTGATGATCACACTTCAAAGATTTATTCAAAAAGAACGCGTACCAGGAGTGAGCACTCAAGCAGGCAAGATGACAAGACAGCATAAGTTCATAAACCAAACAGGTTAAGCCTCCAACGAATAGGCTTACCTAGGTCTTTTGCGGGGGGGGGGGGNGACCCAGACCCCCTACCACCGGGGGGTCTGGGGGGTCTGAAACCAACCTGCAATCTAGACGGGGGCCCGGGCCTCCCTCAAAGTGTTTGAAATCTTAACTCTATTTGAACTCATTTTGAGGCTCTCGTGACGCAGGTTTTCCATCGATTTCTGCAGAAAAATCTTCTCCTACTTTCACCACAAAATTCTTTCCAATTTTTGCATTTAACAGATCCAGAAAGTGTTTTAAATTTTAACTCCATTCGGACGCATTTCGAGGTCTCCGTGACGAAAATTTCAGAAAATGCTATCTGAAAGAACAACGGTGAAAAGAAATAAATATCCTCACGAAGGTTTTTTTCCAACATCCAGAATTTTTGGGGGACAGATGAAACTATTTTCAATTTAAGGGGAAGGAAGGCAGGCCCACGCTCCAACGGTTTGACCGGTGGGGCGGGCAATTCAAACGCTGCATCATCCAAAACACATCCTCCTCGTGTGTCCAGCATCCTTGGTACATCCTCTATAGACGTATCTGCGAACTGATGCAGCCTGTTCTTTTATCTGGTNGGGGGGGGGGGGGGGGGGGGGGTAATAATGAGCATTCAGTACTCCGATTTTTTCTTTCAAGTTTTTTACCATACTGTACCTATATTCCTTATTTTCCTTGTCCATCAGTCATTTCCCAGTACCTATAATCATTGGTTCCATGGCCTCCTTCTCCTCAGAAAAGTCCTGTTAGTGGGCCGTAACAGGTGAAGAATCCCCTTCTCCTTTCTCTACCGAAAAATCCCCTTCTCCTTTCTCCACCGAAAAATCCCCTTCTCCTTTCTCCACCGAAAAATCCCCTTCTCCTTTTCCACCGAAAAATCTCATCCTTCCCAACAGCTAAGTTCAGTCCCAGTTTAGGCTGGGGCTTATTGTGAGATTTCGTGAGTAATGAATCGCTCTAACCACCAGGCTGTTCGCAGAAAAGGAGGCAACACTTCCGCACCGATCTCGTAAACTTTCCACAAGCCGAGTGGCATCAACCCCACCTTACTCATCTACTTTAAAGGTTTATGGGTGCAAAGAGTACGGACATTTGATTTTAATAATTTGCATAACGTATCCATAAAACGTGCTCTTCGTTTCGACCGGATAAAAGAATTTTGCCGAGGGTACGCCTTCGTCCTCATCACAGCGTGCCCCAACCGGCAGGAGCCAAAAATAACGCCAAGAAAACGTTACGAAAACATTACTGTAACGTCAATTTTGGCAGCAACTATGTGACTGCGTGTCCCGCCTCTTGCCGAGTGGGTACCAAGATTTCGTGAGTAATGAATCGCTCTAACCACCAGGCTGTTTGCAGAAAAGGAGGCAACACTTCCGCACCGATCTCGTAAACTTTCCACAAGCTAAGTGGCATCAAACCCTACTTACCCATCTACTTTAAAGGTTTATGGGTGGAAAGAGTACGGGCATTTGATTTTAATAATTTGCATAACGTATCCATGAAACGTGCTCTTCGTTTCGACCGGATAAAAGAATTTTGCCGAGGGTACGCCTTCGTTCTCATCACAGCGTGCCCCAACCGGCAGGAGCAAAAAATAAGGCCAAGAAAACGTTACGAAAACATTACTGTAACGTCAATTTTGGCAGCAACTATGTGACTGCGTGTCCCGCTTTTTGCCTACCTCGAGGCTGCGGGGAGAAATTCGACCGAGTTGCTCTCTAAAATCGTCTCCAAGGATCTAAAGACATAGACGAAGCGCTAAAAGCCAAAAAAAGAAGCGGCATTTCCTATTGGCCAGAGGTTTGGCCACTGGGTTAGATTGGCATCGCCCACTGATATTGAATGATCTCCGAAGATGGTGCCATCGTAAGTACAATGAGAAAAAAATATGGTTTTAATTGCCATAATAGTGGTGTTTAATATGAACTCTTAATTAGTAGTTGCTATAACCAATAATAGAGATATTTTTACCATCAAATGGTAATTTTACTAGGTACCGCACACTTGTAAAATTACGATTGCTCCAGTAGAAATAACACTATTATTGGTTATGGCCACTACTATTTAAGAGTGCATATTGAACACCATTAATATGGTAATTGGACCGAGTTAAACAGAAAGGAACCAAGCCACATTAGCTATTGCCAAGTTTAACTGGGCAATTAACTTTTTTACGAGAGAACGTTTGTTCGGATTTCTTTGAAAATTTTAAGGAATTTGCTTCGCACCGTGGAGAATTTTCACTGAAATTTGCACGAAAATCCGCACAACCGTTTTCACGTAAAAAATTAAACTGCCCAATTAAATTTGGCAATAGCTGATGTGGCTTGGTTCCTTTCTGTTTAACGTAGTCCAATTATAACCATAGTTTTTTCTCAGTGTACTCTTTCCTTCCTCGGAAAGCTGCGAGTACTGAGATTTAGGAACCTAAATCTCTTTCGCAGCCTCTTAAAATAAGTGAGGCCCGTTCCTCCGCACTACTGTCTCGGTGATAACAACCGGCGGGCTGATTATTGAAAATAAACAAAGAAGACATAGGGAGTATGGAGCAATCCTATTGGTTGAAATGGGCAGTCGCTACAGACTAAGGGAGAAAATGATGGACCAGCTATAGGGTTTCTCGTGGTTGCCGTCAGTTAATCTATTACCTACCTTTTTTTGTCCATTGCAACCACCCGCTTCCACAAATAGGATCCCTCCAATTCCCTTTTGTCATCTTTGTCTGTAGCTTCGTCTATCAATTTCAATAATCGACCCGCAGGGCTTCTCATGTCTGTCCTTACAGCATTACCTGCTCCAACAGGGGTCGGGTGCTCTGCTCTGGGACCCCCGATGGTCTCTTCATAGCATTTTGCTCATATTATGCTCCCGTATACTTTTTTGGGGTTGTGTCTCACGCATGGTGATATGAAAAATAAATTCGCTCATACCCATAGCCATCGAAGTCTGAAACCCGCCCCTTGCCCAAGTAGCAGTGACCGCGATAAGTTGCGATTTGACCGGAGAATGTATCGCGATATTATCGACGTTGATTTATTGCATTTTTATCGGATACGAACTTGCGATTTCATCGCATGAATTTGCAATAGAATGGCGATTTTATCAAATCGCATGAATTTGCAATAGAATGGCGATTTTATCGACGACGATTCATCAGTATATCGAACAAAAAATCGCCATAAATTGAGACAAAATTTTGATTTTACCGTATGCGATTTTATAGAGATAAAGTTGCGACAAAATTGAGGATAATCGCTCGGATGTTAATGATCCTAGCGATTTCATCGCCGAATATTCGTAAAAAAGTCGGCAATTTAATTTCATAATATCGCGATTTTTCCGTCGAGAAATGGTACTCGGGACAACGAGACACACGAGTGAAGGCGGGAAAAGAGAGAGGAAAGGGAGAAGTTCAGTTGATATGAAGATCTTTTTTGAAACCGGGGCACATCCCTCGTGCGAAGTTGCAATACTTGCGGACTCCTCCAGCGGGCCGAACATTGAAATTGATAGGCAAAGCTATAGACATAGGAGACAAAAGAGATATGAGAGATCCTGTTAGTGGAAGCGGGTGGTTACAGTGGACAAAGGATGTACACTGGAAAAAAGAACACATTGGATCTAGAGTCCAGACTCTTCAAAACATCGGCAAGAGAAAATACTCTTGATTCAATCGGATTTTGGCTTAAATCATGAACCAAGCCTCTTAATTTGAGCGGATTT